TTCAAGAGCTATTTTTCGCTTCTTTTAAGCCACAGGATTGGCTTTTGAACCTAGAGAGATGGTGAAAAATAAAATTTAGGTCAATGTTTGGCATGTTAGTAGCTGTCCAAGCAAAGAGATCCTTATTTTTCATAAGGACTTCAATTATTCTTTCTTTTTCCTCTTTGGGCATATGTCATCCAATTTCTGTAGTGTTCTCAGGTTAAGGACGTACATCTCGCAGCTCTTCACGGATATCCAAGTCAGTCATATTTACAGATGATTTTCCTTTTAGAGCTATTGTGAGACGGTAACTGGGTGCTGGTTCATTAATCATTTTGAGAATAATATTATAGTAACTTCGTGCTAATTTTTGTCACCTCTAACTGCCACTACCCTCCCTTGGGGGTCTTTGAATTTAATAGCAAACATGGCATAAAGATAATTTCCCCAAGGCTAACTATGGTCGGCCTGCCTATGATAACATTATAAGCAGGCGGACAATCTATATTATAAAATCATACCTTGATGGTTCTTGCCTGAGAACCCTAGGAAGTTGGTCTGGCTGGGTGCTATTTGTTCTTCTGGGATGTTTATACCTTTGAAGGCTTCCTAGAATATAATATCAATATAGCTCCCATTATCAACAAAGATTCTTTTTACTTGTAAATCTCGCTTTCATTGAATTCTTTTTTCTTTTCAATTAGCAACAAACTCTTTGAGTTTGCCTTTTCTAATAAGAGCCTCAATAGTATTTTTGAGGTCATAATAATCTTCGGTATCATGTCCCACTTCTTCATGAAATTCGTAAAATTTAATGTCATCCAACCTACCTCTCTTTTCTATTGGAGTTGGCTTAGCGACATTGACAAAGCCAGTTTGGAAGACTTTCTTCATGATGTGAGATCGAGACGTGTTCAAAGGCGTGCAGTTTTCGAACTTTTTTCTCTCCTTGAACCTCCTTTGGAAATCTCGCTAAAATTCATTGGACGTAGACTTTTTACTTGGGTCTTCGCGAGACGTTGATAATCTTCAAGATTTATGAATTTCTCAGATCTTACTCGTAGTTATTCAATGGTTTTTGGCCTTTGTTTGGCCAAAGACATGGAAAATGGTCTATCCTGTACTGTAAGTAATAAGGTGTAGAGAGACTTGTGGGTCAAGATCTCTTACCAGTAAAGCTTCGTCAAAAAATTTGTTGAGAAAATCTCGCAAGGTTTCTTTAGCACCTTGCTTCACATTTTTCGACGCGTGTGTGGATTTGTATTAAGATTTTCTAGTTGCAAATCTCAAAAAGAACTGGTTGGCAAGAACTTCCCAATTGTTGATTGAGTTTTGTGGCTGAGCTGAATACCATCTTAGAGAAATCTCTTTCAATGTAGTTGGGAAAAGACGACAACCTACAACATCAGAATGTCTTGGGCCATCATATTTGTTTAGAATTGCTCCAGATGTTCCTGGGGGTCCCTTTTTCGTTGTATTTTTGTAGTGATTTTTATATTTCTCAGAATAGGCAGGTCCATGATCTGCGTGGTAAAAGGATGAGCCACTTTTGAATCTGTTTTTAGATTCTTGTGAGAGTTTTGGTCTGCATGATGGTTAGCCTCGTGGCTAACGTGAGGTTGATGATCCTCCATCTTTTGTTTTCCTTTTCTTTGGGAAGGACCAGGAGCTTTTTGTGAGTGCTATGGTCCATGTTCATTTTCATTAGATTTTTCATCTGCGTTGGAATTTTTCTCATGCTCAGCTTGTGATTTTTTCAATTTCAGTAGTTCTTTTTGTTGTTCCTCAATCTTTTAATTTTGTTGCCTGAGGAGATGTAGGATTTGTTGATTTATTGGTGGTGGATTATCTCATGAAGGAGATATTGGAGCTACGAATGAGGCTGTTCTCTGGCAAGATGCCTAGCCTCCCTTTATTTTGCCTTTGGATGGGTTCTGAGATCTTGACATCTTGCTCCTAATATCAACCAAGTTTTTTGTTTGTATGGAGTGGGAGTCAAAATTTATCATTTCCCACAGAAGGCGCCAATGATCAGTCCAACTCAAATCGGACTGGGCCTGATCGCACACAGTTGAAGTGAAGAATGTTGATGAAGAGAAGGACAGATGGCAAGGAAGCCTTCTGAGATGCTAAGTGGTTTGGCGAGATGGTTGATAAGCACTTTGGGTATTTAGGCAATTTGCGAGCAGCTGAGGGTACCTGCAAAGACACTTTGACTCTCAAATCAGTTCAGTATTCAAAGAGGTTCAAATATTCAAAGAGAGATATCATACATGGGATAAATGTCTCTGTATTTATAGTATTGAGCGCCTTATTTCATGCCATCTTTCATATGACAGTGTTCACTTTCATTAATGGAGAGAGCGGTGGCCTTTCTCAGGCTATTCCTTGGTGGGCAAGCCTATGTTCAGAGTAGATTTCAGTAGATATAGTGGCCAGCTGGAGCTGCCATTCATTCATTGGGTTCAAGTGACGGCCAACTTGCCTGAGGTGCTGATCTCGGCAATGATGATTCCTTTTAGGTTAAGTCACGTTTGCTTGCTAGTCAAGTAAGTGAGATCTCACGCGTTCTACGCTGGATAGGTTGCCTTTATGGTCAAGTCACAGAGGTTTCTGGGTCGTGTGAGCCTTTATGGGAATGAAGCTTTATCTCACATGTAGTAGGTCCAAATCAGAAGAGAATTGTTTTCTCATTTTCTACTTTAAGGCTCACCTTCGATTTTCAAGATTTAGGGTCTTGGGGTGGAATGAAACCAAAATTCTTAAAAGAGAATAAGGATTGAGTAGTTCATCTTCCTTTCACACTTAAGTTCCTTATGGAAGGGTAAGTTTAGACATTGGTGTTGGGTTGGTTTTAAGGATAAAATGTGGGTGAGTTCACCTTAAGGGTCGTGGACCTACTAACATGCAACCCTTCATAAAAAATCACGTGGTTTTGAGAAAAAGTAGCATAAACTATTCTAGGCTCCTACTCACTTAATCATAACTCAAGGTAAATTTTAAAATTTACTCTGTATTCCCTAAACCATACATAATTTAGAATGATGAGATAATATATCATTAAGGTCACTAGAATAATTTTGTATACAAATAAATAAGAACTAGATAAAATTTTCAAGCATTATATTACTTCCTACTTTTTTTAAAATTTTATCCGCAAAATTAGAGATTCAGTTGCTCATATATTTCTAATTTTCTTTATCATATCATACTTCCCATTATCTTTTTCTGGTGTGAGTCCTTCATCACACTTAATTTTATAGCCTTAAAATATAAGTTTGGATTTGTTGCGTGAATTTTTTCGCTACAATGAGTAAGATGCCCGTTGTAACAATGTGTACTTTGTAGAAGAAAAAATTGTCCAAAAAAAGTTATATAGCACATATTCATTTATCAAACTTAAATACCCTTCTTCATTATTTCAAGAACAAAATTTATCAAGCCAAAGTCCATCAAGCTCCATACTCAAAATGGACACTGCATATCATTCGGGTTGATAGAACATAAATTTGACACAAATGTGAATACACTCAACATGAATAAGACACAAATTTGAAACGGTTCAAAACCTTCGACACGAATACAATTCGCTTATTTTGTGGGTTGATATAATATGACACGATACAAATATTATGCAAGTTGACACGATATGACACAACATGAATAACTTGTCAACCTCAAAGTGTATTGCTTATTATACGAGTTGACATGACACAACATGACATGTCACGATACAAATAACCAATAAAAAAATTAATACAGATCAATTTTATGTTTTCAAGTTGATATGCAACACAACACAAATTTTTTCTTGTCATATTTTTTCAACACGAACACGATATGAATTTAAAAGTGGACCAACCCTAGTATGAATTTTTAGTGTTGTGTTCATCTTATGGTAGTGGGTAGTGTTGAAAATAGCCACCCCTAATTATAATGAACAACATGATTTATTTATTAAAAACCTATGTGATCAAGCATCAAGACAGACTATTAAACTTTTTGATATAAAATTAACATTGTGCGTGATGTACAATTCACTTTTCTGCATGGCATGGTAAAAAATAAATAAAGAAAGAAATAAAACTACATACATTAGGGTTAATTTTATCATTCCAAAGAAGCAAAGTTAATATTCTTCAGTATTTCAACAGGCTCTACATCTATACAAGTCATAAAACATGTTTATACTTTGGAAAGCAATATTCATGGTATTTTGCTCTATCTAGTGTATAGGCCAAAAGAAAACTATGAGGTCATACTTTATTCTTTACATTTCAATAGGAATAGAAAATTAACTACACATTCAAATCCATTTACATGGTTCGAAGATATAGACACCTTCATGATTCAAAACAAACACACTCTGCCTTGCCAAGGCAGTATATTGGCCTCACCAACACATATTTATTATCAATGCCATTGAAAATTATAAAAAATATTAAACGGGTCAAATTTTGAAAGCTGTAAAAAGGGAAGAATATGCTAATCTGGATATTTAACAGTGACCAACGAGGCCTGACTTTTGAGGGTTATCATAAGTTGCGTCCACAAAATTATAATTCCTCTACTGCATAAGGGGCACCGTATGAAAAATAAGAACAATCTAACGGGCACAATGTATCTGCTAGTAATGAAGTACATATGAAAAAAGAGGGGAATGATTTCAATTTTTTTTTTATGAACTTACAAACTATATTATCGATAAACATAGTGTAGTTTGTAAGAGTTTGTAAATATAACCTTTTCAGAAAAAGAAAATACCAAAAATTTCTCAAACCCATTGGTGAGATACTAAAAAAGTTATTAATAATTTTTATTAATAATATTATTTTATTAATAATAATATTAAGAATATTATTTATATTCTTAATATTACTAATAATATTAAGAATCAAATCAATATTTATTAATAATATTAATTTACAAATATGATTGAAAATTAAAAATCAACTAGATTGCTTGTAAGTTGTAGCATCATTCAACAATTGCTCATAAAATATCATGGATTCAATATCCTACATTTCTGAAGTGTCAATAATGCTAACTCGGCTCATCTTCATTTTCGGCTCTAAAGCCACTCCCAATGAACACGGCTCCGGCGAACACCGCTTAGCTGCCACTTGCATCGGCTGAACAACATCAGAGCCAATCAAATGTGGAAAATTTAGCTTGGCTTTTGATCCGTGCATTTTGAAAGCGGCTCGGTCATAAGCCAAAGCCGCGTTCTCAGCCGACTCATAAGTCCCGAGCCACACTCTCGCGCCGTTCTTCTTAGGATCTCTAATCTCCGCAGCAAACTTTCCCCACGGTCTACGCCTCACTCCCCTCATACACGGAGGCGCGTGTCTCTCACGCGCCGCCGCATTCGAAGCACCCCGATGCTCCACAACAGCTGATGTCGTTTGTTCCGAAGAAACCAACGGAGAGTTGACCGCATAATCGTAAAGGGTAGACGTTGATTCACTCCCACTCCCGGTGGGGGAACCCTGGTTGGTGGCCGGAGCAACGCCGTGAGAGGCGGTGGGAACCGCCAGGAGTGCACTGGAGTCGTCGTCGAGGAGGTAGCTACGAATGGATTCGAGAAGAGCAAGATCAGATTCAAGAATGGTGGGTTGAAGATTCATTTGGTTTTGGAACATGAAAGCGTGTGTTATTATTGTTGTACGTGTTATAGTATATTGTAGTGAGTAAGAAAGGAAGGTACTGAACTGAAGTAGCAGTGGATATGTAATATGTATGCGTGTATATATATATATAGGGGTAGTGTACTATTGTTGAAAAGTGATAAGATTTTGTGTGACATTGTTGGACCCTGTTCTCATTTCCTGGAAGCATCGTGAGTTTTCAAGCAGGTGCTTTAAAGGGTTTAATTGCATTATTAAATGGTGTAAACGTTTTTAATCACGTGTTATAATGGGGGTTGGATAGTATTATTTAATAAGAGGGGATGATTTAATGTTGAACTTTTACTTTTGTAAGTCTTTTTATATGTTTTTTTATATACGTACTAGCTAGTAAGCCTGTACTGATAAATAATAATAACCTTTGCTCGTGGGGTCTACTAACTAATGCCTATGGTTCGGAGAAGGAAATAGAATTTGGGGTTTTTTTTGAATTAACCCAACCATAATTAGCCATTTGAAGAGAGTTGATTTTTCGTCTGTATCCTTATAAATTTTGACTCTTTTGAACCAGTTATGAAACTGTTTCAACTTTTTAAGTCAGCTATGAGACTATCACAATGCGAAGTGAGTCAGAAATAAAGATATTTAAAGTTTAAACCCTTTCCACATGTGACATGTGAGAATCGAACCGAGACTCTTTCCTTTCAACTTACTCAACTTTCTTGCTACCAACTAAGCTACCACAATTTGGTAGAATATGGGTTTAATGTTTTTTATATTATAGGAGATAAATTTTTTCTCTCATGCACATATAAAAGTGTGTAGGCCAGGCCCATATGAGAAGAAAAGAGAGAAAAAGAAAACATAGACCCTCACACTTTTATGTGTATAAAAAATAAATTTATCTCATATAATATTAGAAATAATAAAGCCATAAAATATGGAAGAAGTTATACTTAATAATAAAAAGTTTTATAACTCTTACTACTAAACTAATTACCGTTGATTTCCGCCAATCTAACGTTTATAATTTATTGAGAATTAATAATTAATTAATAAATATACTCAATAAATTATAACCGTTAGAGTTGTAAAACTTTTTAGTAGTAAATATACGCATATACTATATATATTATATAGTCGAAATTGGTTTGTAGAGTGTGATGTATATTATTATTATTATTATTGTTATTATTATTATTATTATTATTATTTTTAACATAAAACTCCACCTATGCAATAAATGGTGGTAAGGAAAAATAATTTATAGAAGTCTTGTTTGTAAAACTTTAAAAGTGGGGTATCAAATGATAAAATCCCAATATTTTAATGCTAATTTTGTTTCAACTATATGCATATGGTTGTGTGGGTAACTATTGTATGCAAAAATTCTTAATGTGTTGATTAATTTAAAAAATCAAGATAAAATTAATTCAAGCACACTTTAACACTTGAATTGCCCTTGTGTGTTTTTCTTCACGTATTATAGATGAAGTTTAATAAAAATAAAAATGGGATTTTTTATGCTTTTTTTGCATATGATATTGTAGTTATGAAAATTTTGTGTCTATCTTATTGTTCAGATTCATAAATAATTAGTGGGATTCTGTCCAAATTTGTGAGAATCCACAAAAAAAATTACATATAAAAATTGGTCCATTCCAAAACCAATAAACTAGCATGTACTATGGGGAAGACAATTCACAGATTACATATAGTAATAATATATAACATCTTTTGCAACCAAAATATATATAACATCTTCCGTAAAAAAATAGAGATATTATAAAAGAAATTTTGTAAATATTGCGCAAGGGTTCTTGAATTTATTTTGGTAATATATTTTTCTAAATCAGTTTAAGTAAATTTCAACTTTAATTAAGATAACAAACCCAAAATAACACACACATATAGCTGGACAAATTTTCCCGCAACAAAAAGTACAAAAAGTTCAGAGACAGGTGTAGGTATTAACAATATCAACTAATCACACGCGTTATGAATAATATACAGACACAGCACTTCAACGTTGAATGCCGCATCACATATTTCATATTTCTTTTCTATATACATTGATTGATTGATTATTCGATTAATTAATACAAGGGAAATAATTATATTTTATTATATGAGATAATTATCTTATGTTGCATAAAATAATTTATCTCATAGAATAGAGATAAAGTAGTGGGTTCATTATTTTAAAAAATAAAATAAAATAATAGATCTCACTATCTTTTCTCATCACCATATGAGATAAATTGATCCCTTAATTTAATTTGAATAAGGTTAAATTCATTTTAATAGAGAATCTCCTAAAATTAATTTTTTTATGACTAAAACTCCGTACCAAAAAAAAAAAGTACGAAAACTAATCATATTATCACTGGAACTTCAAAGGAACAACCCACGTGCAAAAAATTACTATTTAAATAGAAAATTACGTTGTTCCAAACTCAGTTTGAAGCAATAAATAATAAAATATAGACAAGTCCGAAACATAGTGCTATAAATATATATAATGCATTATTCTTGAAACACACACAATAACCGCAAAGTTAAATCCTAAAGAAAAAAAACACCACCATCAATCCCATCACCATTTTCATCCAAAACATGGCTACAACAATAGCTTGTGATTTTTCTTCTTTGGAATCTCTTCAACACTACTTGCTTGAGCCTGAACATGTTTCATCCTCTTACAATCCATTTCCAAGCCCTACCATTAACCATGATGCCAGTAAATCATCAGCATGCAAAAGGGTTACACCTGCGGCGGCGCGTGAGGTTCACGCGCCACCGAGATGGAAGCACTACAGGGGCGTGAGGCGCAGGCCGTGGGGGAAGTTCACGGCGGAGATAAGGGACCCGAATAAAAACGGTGCAAGGGTTTGGCTTGGGACTTATGAGACTGAAGAGGAAGCGGGTTTGGCTTTTGATAGAGCTGCTTTCAAGATGCGTGGAAGAAAAGCCAAGTTGAATTTTCCCCACCTTATTGGCTCCCACGCGCCGCCGCAGGAAGAGGTGAGGGTGGTGGAAGCTTCGAAGCGGAACTCGCCAGAGCCTTGTTCACCGCCTTCACTGGCTTCGGAGTCACAGGGGTCAAAGAGGAGGAAGAACTTAGCAGATGTACTAAATAGGTTAGCCAAGAATAGAAACCAAGTACTGAAGGTGTTTGAAATTGGTTCAGAGGCAAATGGTAATTGCGATGTTGATCAATGGTTGAATGATTGTGGTGTAATCTGGTGTTCATAAGCTTCCACAGTGATTGTATTGTTTGTTTGCTGAGTTTGGATTTTTCAATGATTTTTGCATATACCACTTTTGATGAAATTCAAGGGGCAATGTTTGTCATGACTTTTAGATGAAAATCCTAGGCAACAATAAATAAATAAACTGAAAGAAAGAAAAATACCATTATTCAAATTAAACCAAGCCAAATCAGTTGTTTAGTTGTGAAAAATAACATCAAAATCAATATTAATGTTTTTTCCTTTTGTATATTATCTTTAGTTGAGTTCTACTTATTCGAACTCGAGATCACTAAATAAGTTGAAATAATCATTTACCAGTTAATCACGTGCGTGGTGGTAAAATAAATATCAACATATAAAATATATCCATTTATGAAATTTTTTATTATTGGGAGATTCAGGTAATACCAACATTTTTAAAAGACTACTAGATTGGTATTATTTTTTATAATTAAAAATAAATCAATTTTAACTTGTTTTAGATAATCAAATTAATATCACATTATCACATGTATATTATAGAGGACTAAAATAAGTTTTTATTTAAAAAATGTACTTTATTTACATATTATCATTGACCAGTAATAAATTTATTTTGTTAATAGCCTGTTTCAAAATATATATAATCATAAACTAGGTAATCTATATTAATAATATCATGATTGTTAGCGTAAGTTAATAGTAGAGATCTGGCACGTACAAAAGTTTGGAATTCATATAGATTGCATTGATTTTCTTCATTTGGATAACCTCGAATTTATAAATTTATATTAGACCTGTGCACCCAAGGAAAAAAAATATGGGACATTAATGATGCAATATATTAATGATGCAATATATACTAGAAAAAAATAAATTTTAACCTCGCGAGCTGACTCATTTACAGTTTGTGAATATATAATGTCAGGAGAAAATTTCAATACATTCCAAAAGTAATATTTTATAACCGCTTATATTTAATGTATTAATATTTTTTATTTAACAATATTTTTTCATCCAACAATTCTTTAATTGTATAGTGTGAATTTTTTAATAAAAGGGTATAATACTTATAAGTACGTAAAATTTCCCATATCAATGGTTTATTTTATTATTATATATAGATGGGTTTAGTATGTGTCATTTAAAAAGACACAATTCTGTGTCCTTTTAGTGACTTACACAGAGTATGATCGGTCATACTCTGTGTAATTTTGAAAAGTTTCTTTTTCTTTCACTTTACACGTCAACGATATGACTGAGAAAAGATAAAAAAAAGTAACTTTTATGATTTATACAAAGTATGACCGGTCATACTTTGTGTAAATCATCTAAAAGGACACAACTTGTGTCCTTTTAAATGATAGTTCTTTTTCCCTATATAGATTATCTATAACACAACATGTGAAGATGATGTTGTTTTTAATTTTCTACTGAAAATGATGCTCTATTGGCTGGCTCTTGCTAAAGGTCCGAAAACTTCTGATTAGCTTTTCTACATCAGAATCTACACCTTAGAATTTGATTCCCTTTATTTCAATTCAACAATTACTGCCCTTGAGACACGCAAAAAATAAAAAATAGTGAGGGAATTAATATGTGCCAGCTAATACTATTATTGAAGTTGTACAGTGGGGTACATAAAATGTGTTTCATGGAAGATGAAGTATGTGGATATAGGGGTACTTATAATGGCAATAATAGATAGACATCAAAGCACTGTAGAGGCTTCCCATGGTGTGCATAAGAGGGGTGTGTGTGGCTATGATAGCTCTGCAAAGGGGTAGAGTAACAGCATAGATAGAGAGTAGAAGAGATGATCCCCCTCCATGTGTGAGTGGGGTACTTAGAGAGGAGTGTCCTCTCTAGCATGGGAGAGTGAGCTGGTCAGTCCCATGAGCTGTCTGATCAAGCCATATCTTGTCATAAGACAAGACATACTGCCCACTGTCAGTGTACAGGGACAGCTATGCAGGGAAGGGGAATGTCCTAATGATGAGTCTCTATAGCTTGTCATGAGTGTTTTCTAGAAAATTTTAAATGTGAGCTTTAAGAGATTACACCCAACTAATGAACTTAAGGTTTAATCCAAAACAGAAGTAAACTCCGAAAGAAGCTCGTAAGGAGAGAGAGAAAATAATATTGAAAAAAGACATGGTACATGATTAAATTTAAACTCACATATTTTTATTATATGTATAATTATATTAACTAAACTATCTGAAATAAGAATTCCTACAGTAGTACCTATTAATCAGTTTGTTTCATAAAATATAGTATAACGTAGAGTATCCGTGCACCGTGTTACTTGAAAAAAAAAAAACAATATATCACGTCTTCAAATTATTTATAGAATATCACCGTTGAATTCCATTTTAGTAGGACACATATTTTTGCCATGTGATCACAAAACGTGGTGATTCCCGCTGGCTAAGCATTGCAAAATGAGAAATAATTTTTTTGATAGTGGTCACATTTAGTTGAAATTGTGATCTCTCACAAATTTAAAAAAGACTTACATTAGTTCCTTAAAAAGACTAAAATTGGTCTACTTTAATTTCTTAGGAACCACGAATAAATTTTTTATTTACTAGGGACTAAAGCGGGGATCGTAAAATTTGCTGAGAAATAAATGGATTGCAAAATTTAAGCATTGCAAAAGAGAAATAATTTTTTTAAAGGGATTAACATTTCTTTTATAACAGGAGATAAAGTTATCTCTTTTGAGAAAAAAATAAAGGGTAATTTTAGTAAAATTTATAATACAAAAAAAAGTAAAATTTTTAAAATACTCTTGTCTTTTTCCTAAACCCCAAAATAAATTGTTATAAGGTTGTTGAGATAACTTTATTTTCTGTTATAGGAGAAATAATAATTGTTATGAGCCTGGCATAAGCTGACCTTTTTGAAAAAAGTAGAGTAGGCTTAGGCCTATAAGAAAATCTTTTTAACAAATAGACCATAAGCCAACTTTGTCAAGCTTGGTCTAAGGCCTTATAGGCTGGCCTATTTAATTTTTTAAAATAAAATAAAATATTTATTCTAGATGACAAAGTATCAACCCTAATTTCTTTTGTGCACCACCGCTTCTAAGTGACTTCTCACTTTACCTGGGAATGGATCCTCTCATGTGAAAAAGTGGTTATGTGGTCATGTTATTTGATCACAACTACTCATTTAAATATTATACATTTTTCTCTCTCTTATCTCATCATCAATGAGTGGTTGTGATCAAATAACATGACACATGACCACTTTTCCACATTAGAGGATCCATTCCCTTTTCGTCTCTAAATTTCGTCTTTCGTTGACCCAGTAATTGTATTTCTTTATTATTTTTCCATTTCTTTGACTCTAATTCCTCTTTGATATACATTTTAGAGCTGTGGTATTATGTTGACTCTTTTTTGTTTGTCATTTTTTATTTCTTACGAGAAGTATTAGTGCATGCACGAATGGAACTTTCTTTGCTTAGTATCTGCAGTGGGAGGCCTACAAGGCCTTAATGCCATATCAGACTTTTTAATTTTTTTTTTAAAACAGGTCAGGCTTGGCCTATAAACAAAGCCTTTAATAGGCCAATAGGTCAAATAGGCTGAATATTTTTTACGTAGGCTTAGGCAATGAAGGTCAAAGCTCGGCCTAACCTGACTTATTTACACTCCTAGGTACCATAACCAGCTCGAAGAGTTAAAGCTTATGAAGATACTGAGGGAAGTCAACTCGCTTCAAAAAAATAATTAGAATTAGGTTAAATTAAAAAAAAAAAAAACTTGGGCTTTTGTTTAGACTTTATTTATATAATTGAGTAATGTGAAGCCTCAATGAAGAGTCAAAGACGAGTAACGAGTGACTAGCTGCAACAGTAGCACTCCTCTAACTATTTTCTTTTAGTCGTCTTAGGAAAATTCGAACACGGATTTATGGCCAACCTTTTTTGACAGAGAACTATCCAGCAACAGTAGAATACGACCAGTAATTTCACTGGTAATGAGTGTAAACAAGACTGATATATTCTTTTGATTCAATAAAGTTTTCAATATGAATTCCAACTTTAAAATCGAATTTCGCTTTCCCTTTTAAGGAACCGAAGAGTGAAGAAAGAGGTTACAAGTCAATGAATATTTTGACAAAATAACTTTTAATATAATTTAATTCAATAACTTCCGAAGATTATTAGCGTGTGCATGACAACCATTCTATTCCCTAGAATTGTTTCTGAAAAGAAACAAATTTTTTCTATTTCTGTGTCATGGAATAGTTTCTGAGAAAAAAAAATGTGTTTGATAACATGTTCTTTTTTTATTTCGAGAATGAGAATTGTGTTTGATAACACAACAAATAATATAATAAAAAATAATTCCTATTAAATATAAAATAATTCCGAATCTTCACTTTCCTTTCCACATGGTGTGGTTGTGGTGGTGGCGGCGGCGGCGGCACGGTAGTGGTGGTGGCAGTGACGTGGTAAAGATAGTGGTGGTGGTTGTGACGATAGTGGATGCGACGATCGCAGTGGTAATGATGGCGGCGGCGACGGTAGTGGTGGGGATGGTGGTGGTGGAGGTGACGACAGTGGTTGCGATAATGGTGGTGGGTATGGTGGTTGGTGGTGGCAACAATGGTAGCAGTGGCATGATGGTGGTGGTTGTGAAGGCATCATGGTGGCAGTGGTTGTGGCTGCGGCGGTGGTGGTAGGTGACAATGGTGTTGGCGGTGGTGGTAGTGGCGGGGGTGGTGTAATGGTGGTGGTGGTTGGTGGCAGCGGCAGCGACGACGATGGTGGTCACGGTAGTGGTTGCGACAATAGTAGTGGTGGTTGGTGACGTGGTGGTGATGGTAGTGGTGGTGGTAGTGATGGCGATGGGGGTGGTGGTAGTGGCGTGTGATGGCAATGATTGCGATGAAGGTGGTGGTTGATGGCGGTAATGGTGATGGGGTAAAGGTGATAGTGGTGGTGGTGGCGGCGGCGGTAGTTCTGGTGGTGGTAATTGTGGGGGTGATAGGTGGAGGTGGTGGTGA